ACCAAGGAATCTGCTAAAACTAAGCACCCTCAGCTTCACTATGAATCAAAGTTGTATATGCTTCTTCAGGGAGGAAGTAAGTTTACTAATTTCTGAATTCTTTTGGTTTGCTATTTGATGTACTGAAGACAAAACAAGTTTGTTAATGCTCTCATTTCTTGTATGAAGCTGGAATTCCCCACCTTAAATGGTTTGGAGTTGAAGGAGAGTATAATGCCATGGTTATTGATCTTCTTGGACCAAGTTTAGAAGATTTATTTAACTACTGCAATCGAAAATTTACATTAAAAACAGTTCTAATGCTGGCTGATCAGTTAGTAAGTATTCCACCATCATAGAAGATTGGTTTCATGGTTTTTGTAACTGCAATTTTACTCACTCCCTTCTGTTTTATGAAGATTACTAGAGTTGAGTACATGCACTCTAGAGGTTTTCTTCACCGTGATATAAAGCCTGATAACTTCTTAATGGGGTTGCGCCGCAAAGCAAGTCAGGTATATATTCCTCTTTTCTGATTCAGGTTATATACATGCGCTGTTTGTGCCTGCACATATTATTTAATTTTCTTATGACTTTGAACTTTACTCGCCTTAAAAAATATTTTGCCAGTTGTCTTCTCTATTATGTTGTTTATTACATTTGGCGTATCCTTTGCTCTGTAAAGGACATAATTATTATAGGACATTGCCACTGGACAGTTGTTCATTCTTGAAACCTTGCAGTCTGATAAATAATGCATATGGCAATTGGAAAGAATGAGATATATGCTCTTAGAGAGTACAGTGTTTGATTGTTACTGAAGCAAATGCATAAACAGTGTGATACATAGTTGTGCGTTGATTGTAGATTTTATGGGTCTGCAATGATGGCGAATTGGGACATCATCACTGGCGGATCCAGCACCCGGCGAGCTCCCGCTGCCGCGCGTGCTGGATCTGCCAGGAGCCTTTTTTTTTTGTTTTTTTTTTTTTTTGCTGAGAACAGACAAATATATAGTATATATTACTGGTAAGTTATTTTTTTTTTTCCAAATGTTGCTTCTAGCCAAGTTGGTTGGCGCTACCTTTTGCTTCTTTGATGTCCCGGGTTCGAATCTTCGTTTGGCACTTCCTTTTGCTTTTTTAGTTATACAATTTTGACCAAAAACCATTGAAATAAGGAAAGGGGCCAATGGAGAATCGAACCTGTGAGCTCTTCTAGGACATAGTGAAAACTTAACCACTATGACACTTGATGAGTTGTTATACGAAGTTTATCAAAATAATATATGTAAGATTTTAGTGATTTTTATGCAATTGTAAAAATTTAAACACCATGCTCTTCCTTTAAATTATACAAAGCAATAATATTATTTGGTGAGTACGATTTATTCTATAACAAAATTATATATGTTCAATTTCAACAAAATAATTATTTTATTTAAATTTTAAGTTTTGTTTGATTCTTATTTAGTTCAGAATACATTTTTCTTTCATTTATTTTCGATCAAATATTCTTTAATAAAATAATATTATACTTAAATTCAAATTTTTTTTTTATTTTTAACTATACATTCTCTATCGAATTACTATTCCAAAATACATTTTTTTACAAAAAATGACATCAAACGAGCTCTTAATATTTTATTACGGCCGACCGTGCTGGCTCAACATCCTGGATTCGCCCCTGGACATCATCATTGGTCTGTGGTCTTACCATTTATGAAACCTGGTAGAGTCTCATGGTTAATATATGTTTGTGTAAGAATAAGATATCTGCGCTAAGAGAGATTTGGATGCATGCTTAAACTTGTTAGTAAAAGGAAAAAATGTGCAGAATCTGGGATTGTAGCCAAGGATGGCTGATTTGGTGCTTCTTTCAGCGGTTAGTCATTTTCAAATTATGATTAGCTGAAAGTAGAAATTAAATCTATGCTTTGGTATAATTTCAAAATGTATTTATGTAGGAAGCACCCGAAGTAGTAGTACATATTGATTTGGTCTCTGTACACATATACGTCGCTATTGTTACTTAGCCCTTGTTTGGCCTCCATCTTTTCACATTATAATTTTTTCTCTAATCTTATTTTCAACCAAGCAATCTTTCATAAAACAATATTACACATGAAAAAAAAAATTCCTTCTTTTTCAACTACACGTTCTCTAAAAGACACTATTCAAAAATTTTAATGCCAAATAATGAGGTCCAAACGGAACCTTATTTTTAATAAGGGGTGGTTATTGGATTCTATGTCATATTCAATTGGCACAACCCATAGATGTGTTGTTTTATCTATTGGATTATATAAGCCTGGAAATCATGCATAATGATATTTGAAATTGGTAACAAAACTTGAATTCTTTTATTTTTTCCTTTGTCTGCTCTGTTCTACAGGACAGATTCCTGCAAGCTCGTCCTTGGTGAGGCTGTTATTGAAAGAACAGTGATCCGTTGGTTGTTGTTTTCTCTTAGTCCAAAATGGTTTCTTGTTTTTTTCTTTCACTGACTTATAACTTGTGGTGTAGAACTCTCTTTTGTGACACTGTAGCTAGTATTTCATCTATCTATACAGCTTTCTCAATAATTCTATTTTAAAAGATTATTAATTCAAAACTTTAGGAAAAAAAAAAATGTGAGTATACCTGAATACTGCATTAGGATTTTATAAGGGCCAGAACTGGAACTGTTTAACGTAAATTTTTTTTATTCCTTTCAATACCCTACTCTTTTTCTTTTTTTTTTCATTTGGTCCCTTCCCTAGACTAAAAATTAACCCAGACATATCCTTTTCTTTATCACTAATGAAATGTTCACTATTTCTATTCACTTTCATAGCAATGTAATGATTTAATATCATGTCATGACGTGGATTAAGTTTTTTTCTTTTTTTCTTTTCAGAACAAATTTAATGAATCTGACATGTTTATATATTGATGTTTAACATGTACTTGAATTCTTATGTATGGAATTTTTCAACTTTCTACCTTCTTAAACTGACTTCTGGTCTTTCTTGAATAGGTATACATCATTGACTACGGGCTTGGAAAGAAATACAGGGATCTTCAAACTCAGAAGCACATACCGTACCGGTATGAATATGATGAGCTATTGTTTTACTATATAATGACTTTAGTAATCTTTTTCGATTATGGTTCCCAACTATGCCATTGGCAATTGTTGAGCGCGGTACTAAGAGTAATAATCTTTCAATAGTAAGTTTGTTTTTCGAATTTGTGTGGCACCAGTTGTGCTTCTATTGCTAATCATCACTCAGTATACCCTTAAAAGATCAGAGTTAGATGTTTTAAGCTAATGACACTTAGCATGTTTTATTTCTTATAATCACTTTTGACACTCCATTTGCCTAGTTTGGTTGATATGAGCTTGTTATGTGGCAAATCTACATATTCTTAAGTTCACCGGCCATGGGGAAGGAGAAAGAGGGACGGATTGTGGGGCTAGGTTGAAGGTGTTAAGAGTATGTTGGAAAATGTTGCATTGCTGCAATATTGGATTTGGGCCTTTTTATTTTCTCCTTAGGGAACAGCTTGTAAGCTTGGCTCAAGGTGTTTGTCCTGTGGTCTTTATTTGTATGAAGGGATATGCACATCACTGCATCTAACTCAAGAGCACACGAAAGCTCTTGTTCTCTTAGTAGTGGGATTGGGAAAAGTTCACATTGGTTTTTCTGCCATTCACCACCAACTGAAGAAAAACAGAAATATCACTTTCTGTCTCCGGCAAGCAGCAACTACTCCAATTATCGGTTTTTTTCTGTTCACAAAGTGCTTGGTTCCGGTCTGGTTATTAACAAGGACCTTCCTGCCATGCAAAATGTTTCACTCCACTTGCACCATCACTTTCCTAGACTAGAAATTGGCCTTCCTTAATAATAGCTAACATAATTGGCCTGACTAAATCCAAAATTATAGCACTAGCAAGTAAAGAAGTGTTTCCTGCAAGGCATTGAAAAAAAAGAAAAGAAAAGTATCCTCCTCCTAACTTATGAAGCCTTACCCGCATGAATGGAATTCATATCTCCTTCGTTTGGGGGAGAAGGGAGAAAGTCACATAGATATTGACATGTTATGTAAATACATAAAAAAGATTAGCAACCCAAATCAAAGTGAACTACGTTATGATTTGATATCCTTTATGGGGTACATAGGCAGCTTGGTAGCTTTTCCAAGCATCAATAAAATTTTATGGTAGTTGGTCTTTATCATTGCTGTGTAGCGAAGTGATGAAAAAATATGTCAGGACATAGCGGGATTCCCCATCTCCCATGATTCCTTTCCCAGTGTCTATATTCCCCCCTCTTCCAAGTCTCAGGCTGAACCTCACGGAAGGTACCCTTTCTAAAGGTAACTTCCAGCCATGTTCATACTCGACACGATGCCACACCGGTTACATATTGATACTTGGTTGGTTGGCGAATGGATGTTGAGATAATGATTTTGTGTCACGGTATAACATAGGATTGAGTCGGTGTAAAGTAGCAGTGATGTTGTCCGTAGTTGGTCCTGCTGCCAAGGAAAAAGGTCTTTTGAAATATTGTAACTCAATAATTGAAGGATCCTGGCTAATGGATGAGACTTGAAGTGAAGATATTGTTTCCTTAAGAATTTATTATTTGCAAATTGGATGGATTAGTGAAAAACTAAGTTCTCTTTAGGTTCAGGATGTACATATGTGATAGAGGAGGACAGTGAATCACATGGTGCATTTATGACGTTTAAGAATATCGGNATTGAAATATCCACAGATTGGCTCGAGTTCTAGAGTACGAATTGGTGCTCTCTTGATTTGTTGTCTATTAGCCCTGCTTTATTTTGAGTTAGTATTTGTATCTTATATTTTTCTTTCTTATATCAGCAGCCAATGGGGAAATTACCTATAAACCCTGGACCTTCGGCTGAAAGAGTACAAAAGACTCCAGGTCTGCTATGGTGCCTCATTTTGTTATTAGCACCCCCTAGATTTTGATGTTCATCCACATTTTTTGTATACATGCCGATTGAATTTGTCACGTGTATTGGGAACTTTCTATCGCCTTTTGATTTGACATAATTATCTGAAAGTTAATTGGCTAATAAATGGTTTCCTTTATTTATGTGCATCGTCTAGTGAAGCAAGAAGTTCGAGACAGATTCTCTGGTGCAGTTGAGGCATTTGCCAGAAGGAATGGTTCTGTTGGAGGCTTGCATGGGGATAACTTGAGGTACAAATTGTCAGACAGCTTGCCATCATCAAAAGATGTGGTGAGTATACTAAAGATTTGGGTTTAATCTGTTTTGTCTGTACTCTATTTGTTGCCTTTGCTATTCCTTCTCTGTGTGTGCATTTGTCAAAGGAAATTGTAGTATTGGTACCCATAACCCAGTCCATTGCTCCAATGGCAAGTTGGACCTTGAAAACGACTTGATTACAGTATAAGTCGGATGATTCTGCGACAGATCTCCTCATTTTATTGTAATTGCACAATCGATCCCCGACAATGGAAACCGTGTAAATCTTGTTAAATCATCACATCACTGACCTTGACATGTCCAATTTCATGAAGTTAAGTTTTGCTTCTCAACTTTGGCTTGTGCCCTGAAACTTGGAGTGAGGATAATTAACTTGTGACCTAAGATTTAGACAGTTACCATCATTTGGGACTTATTGTGCAACGATAATGGAAGTCGGGGGTAGGGGACAAATTGTTCCTTTTTAAAGGTTGGGACCATCTTGTTAATGGAGCAATAGTTTGGGGATCAATGGTGCTATTTGCCCTTGTTTTCATGAATCTTTGTGTTGAAATTCTGTCATTATGTACCCTTGCTGCTTTGTCCTCCAGCAAACTGATTCTGAAAGAGGACGGTTGTCTTGCACTGGTAGTACATCAAAGAGGGCGGTACTATCAAGCAGCAGGCCAAGCTCCAATGGGGAAGCCAGTGAAAATCGCACTAGCCGGTTAGGATCAGGCAGCGGTCGACTATTCTCCACTCAAAGATCACAACCGGGATTTGAGTCCAAATCGTCTTCTTTTACTCGTGCTACAGTCTCTAGAGGCGGCCATGATGACGCTCTCCGGAGCTTCGAGCTTCTAAGAATAGGCTCAGGGAAAAGGAAATAAGGGTATTTCATAACTGAAATATTTGGTTCTTGTGCTAAAGCCTCATTGCTCCTACATTATGATGGATATAAAGCGACCCTATTGTATACATTTGTGACTCGAGTACCCTGTACGAAAACATGGTTTCATTACTGGGGGCGATGTTAACAGCGCTAAAAGTCAGCTGTCGTCTCCGGATATTGTTACTTTCTGATTCTTGCTTTAACCTTTTATTGTAACCCAATAAAGATGCATGTGATTGTATTGCTAAAGTAATCTGTTCAAGACTATTGTATGGTCCAACTAGTTCTTGTCTTATCAACTATTGTACAGCTTTCTACTCCTATGGTAACTACCTTCTTTTGTTTCTTCATCTTGTTCTCTCCTTATCTCCATTAGAAAGGAGGAAAATCGAAAATTTTGATTGTTAAGAAAGAGGTCTACTACTTGGAAGAAAGCATGATTAGGCTGTTGACTGTCATATTTGGAATGACTAAATTGTAAAAAATTCAACGTGCAGTTTTGACAATAAATTTAGTGATCAATTAAAACAAAATTAGAAGTTTGGTGGTCAATATGAACATTTTGTCTCATTCATTACAAGAAATAAACTTATAACAACAACATACAAAATTATTTTCTTCAAACTCATTCTCAACCACTTATTTTTTTCTATAAAATAATATTACATATTAATTCAAAATTTTTACCTATTTTTAACCAAACATAATAATAATAATAATAATAATAATTATTATTATTATTATTATTGTTGTTGTTGTTGTTGTTGTTGTTGTTGTTATTATTATTACTACTACTACTACAAAGTCTATTTTCTCCGGAAAGGGGCTCAAATAGGGACATTAGAAACATAGAGATTTGATTGAATTGAGTTAAGTGAGGCCTTTACATTGAAGGTGAGCTTGTAGTAAAAAATGAAACCTATGATAAGGTTGAATTGAGCTGAGACGAGCCCTTACATTTAGGGTGAGCTTGTTGTTGACGATAAAACATGTGATAAGATTGCATTGAACTGAAGTGAGGCTCTTACATTGTGGGCAAACCTGTTGTTGTAGATAAAGTCCGCCATAAGGTTGAATTGAGATAGGGTGAGGCCCTTACATGGGGGTGAGCCTATTGTTGAAGATGAAGTCTGTGATGTGATAAGGTTGAATTGAGCTGAGACGAGTCCTTACATTAAGAGCGAGCCTAATGTCGAAGATGAAGCCCATGATAAGGCTAAATTGAACTGAGGCAAGATTCTTACATTGAGAACGAGCCTATTATTGAAGAAGAAACCTTTGATAAAGATGAATTGAGCTGAAGCAAGAGCCATACATTAAGCCTTCTATCGAAGATGAAGGATGTGATAAGGCTGAATTGAGCTGCGGCTAGGACCTTACATTGGGACGAGCTTGTTGTCAATGATGAAGCCTGTGATAAGGCTAAAATTCAATTGGGCGAGGCCCATTGCGTTTAGGGTAAGCCAGTTGATATAGATACAGCATGTGATAAGGTTGAAATTCACTCATGCGAGGCCCTTGCTACAAGGGTGAGTCAGATGATAAAGTTGAAATTCACGTAGGCTAGGTCCTTGCATTGAGAGCGAGTCGGTTGATAAAGCTGAAGAGACAACCTTTGATAAGATTGAATTGAGCTTGGATGAGGCACTTCCATGAGGGCTAGACCATTGGTGAAGAGATAGCATTTGACAAGACTGAATTGAACTTGGCAACGAGCTTGTTGGTGAAGAGCCTGAATTGAACTTGGGCAAGACTTTTACACGAAAACGAGCTCATTGTTGAAGAGATAACTTTTGATGAGGTTGAGTTGAACTTAGACGAGGCCTTTGCATGAAGACGAGCTCATTGTTGAAGATGCAACTTTTGATGAAGTCGAATTAAACTTGGGTGAGGCCTTCTATAAGGGCGAGCCCGTTGGTACAGAGGCGGCTTTTGATAAGGCTGAATTGAAATTGGATGAGGTCTTTACTTCACACTTCGTTTTTCCGAATGTCTGTCTCATTCATTACAAGAAATAAACTTATAACAACAACATACAAAATTATTTTCTTCAAACTCATTCTCAACCACTTATTTTTTTCTATAAAATAATATTACATATTAATTCAAAATTTTTACCTATTTTTAACCAAACATAATAATAATAATAATAATAATAATTATTATTATTATTATTATTGTTGTTGTTGTTGTTGTTATTATTATTACTACTACTACTACAAAGTCTATTTTCTCCGGAAAGGGGCTCAAATAGGGACATTAGAAACATAGAGATTTGATTGAATTGAGTTAAGTGAGGCCTTTACATTGAAGGTGAGCTTGTAGTAAAAAATGAAACCTATGATAAGGTTGAATTGAGCTGAGACGAGCCCTTACATTTAGGGTGAGCTTGTTGTTGACGATAAAACATGTGATAAGATTGCATTGAACTGAAGTGAGGCTCTTACATTGTGGGCAAACCTGTTGTTGTAGATAAAGTCCGCCATAAGGTTGAATTGAGATAGGGTGAGGCCCTTACATGGGGGTGAGCCTATTGTTGAAGATGAAGTCTGTGATGTGATAAGGTTGAATTGAGCTGAGACGAGTCCTTACATTAAGAGCGAGCCTAATGTCGAAGATGAAGCCCATGATAAGGCTAAATTGAACTGAGGCAAGATTCTTACATTGAGAACGAGCCTATTATTGAAGAAGAAACCTTTGATAAAGATGAATTGAGCTGAAGCAAGAGCCATACATTAAGCCTTCTATCGAAGATGAAGGATGTGATAAGGCTGAATTGAGCTGCGGCTAGGACCTTACATTGGGACGAGCTTGTTGTCAATGATGAAGCCTGTGATAAGGCTAAAATTCAATTGGGCGAGGCCCATTGCGTTTAGGGTAAGCCAGTTGATATAGATACAGCATGTGATAAGGTTGAAATTCACTCATGCGAGGCCCTTGCTACAAGGGTGAGTCAGATGATAAAGTTGAAATTCACGTAGGCTAGGTCCTTGCATTGAGAGCGAGTCGGTTGATAAAGCTGAAGAGACAACCTTTGATAAGATTGAATTGAGCTTGGATGAGGCACTTCCATGAGGGCTAGACCATTGGTGAAGAGATAGCATTTGACAAGACTGAATTGAACTTGGCAACGAGCTTGTTGGTGAAGAGCCTGAATTGAACTTGGGCAAGACTTTTACACGAAAACGAGCTCATTGTTGAAGAGATAACTTTTGATGAGGTTGAGTTGAACTTAGACGAGGCCTTTGCATGAAGACGAGCTCATTGTTGAAGATGCAACTTTTGATGAAGTCGAATTAAACTTGGGTGAGGCCTTCTATAAGGGCGAGCCCGTTGGTACAGAGGCAGCTTTTGATAAGGCTGAATTGAAATTGGATGAGGTCTTTACTTCACACTTCGTTTTTCCGAATGTATAGGTAAGATGAAACCTTGCATGGAGGAGGCGCTGATATATAGACGAGATGAAGTCTTGCACGGCGGAAGCCCTGATGCATAAGTGAGATGAAGCATTTATACTTGAAAAAATAATATATAGTCTCGTGCTCTGTGGATGAAGCCTCTAAAGTAGATGAAATATTTTTGTAGAGATGAAGTCTCAAATTTCAGGGATAAGATCTCTTAATTCGTTAACTATAACTTATTCTTTAGGTTTCCTTCCTTCTTTAGAGTTTGTTTCGTTCATTGCCTCTTCTTCAGAGGCCTTCGATTTTTAGGGGTTATCATTTTATAGTCTCTTCTTTAGATGTTTCCTTTTTTCATGGACCTTCCATTTTTCAAAGATTGTGTGTATTCCTTTGCATTTGGAGGAGGAGTTATTGCATAAGGGCATTTTGCTGGGGTGATGTTCCTCGTATTGGTGGCCATTTTCACCACCTCTCACATGCTTCTGATTCGATGATGCATGTGATGAGGTCGGCAATCGGTGACTCTGATTCGAAGGACCTCTTCTTCAGGGACCTCTCTTGACGTTCTTAGGTGTTTATCTTCATCACCAGCACTCATTTTGGACAGACGCCTCTTTTATTCAAAGATTTGATCTCTTGAGTAGATTTTGACCTCAAATACTCATTTTTCAAGGAGTGTGAACACCTACAATGCTGAATTGAATTTCAAATCTTCTATTTTACGGCTTTTAATTGTCTTTTATTCAAGAACAAAACATTTTTTCAATGGCGAAGTTGAAGCACTTTTTCGTAAGCTTTTTCCACGAGGATGCTTGTGGTTTTAGAATGATTTTCGACGGACAGCGCCAATTTATTGACCTCATTTTTTGTAAGGGCGACGTGGCTAATCCTCAGTGGTGGTGGAAGAGACTGTACTCATTTCGACGGTTAAATCTGCATTTGTAAGGGTAAAATTTGGTTGTAGGATGTGATTAAGATGCGCGACACTTAAGTAAAAGGGGTTCAGATCCGGGGATTGTAGAGGGGAAATAGAGATTGGAAAAGTTACATATTGAGAGCATATACTTGCATTATCTTTGAACAGTATAATGTGTGAGCTTTATAGTTGTTGTTGTTGTTGTTGTTATTATTATTACTACTACTACTACAAAGTCTATTTTCTCCGGAAAGGGGCTCAAATAGGGACATTAGAAACATAGAGATTTGATTGAATTGAGTTAAGTGAGGCCTTTACATTGAAGGTGAGCTTGTAGTAAAAAATGAAACCTATGATAAGGTTGAATTGAGCTGAGACGAGCCCTTACATTTAGGGTGAGCTTGTTGTTGACGATAAAACATGTGATAAGATTGCATTGAACTGAAGTGAGGCTCTTACATTGTGGGCAAACCTGTTGTTGTAGATAAAGTCCGCCATAAGGTTGAATTGAGATAGGGTGAGGCCCTTACATGGGGGTGAGCCTATTGTTGAAGATGAAGTCTGTGATGTGATAAGGTTGAATTGAGCTGAGACGAGTCCTTACATTAAGAGCGAGCCTAATGTCGAAGATGAAGCCCATGATAAGGCTAAATTGAACTGAGGCAAGATTCTTACATTGAGAACGAGCCTATTATTGAAGAAGAAACCTTTGATAAAGATGAATTGAGCTGAAGCAAGAGCCATACATTAAGCCTTCTATCGAAGATGAAGGATGTGATAAGGCTGAATTGAGCTGCGGCTAGGACCTTACATTGGGACGAGCTTGTTGTCAATGATGAAGCCTGTGATAAGGCTAAAATTCAATTGGGCGAGGCCCATTGCGTTTAGGGTAAGCCAGTTGATATAGATACAGCATGTGATAAGGTTGAAATTCACTCATACGAGGCCCTTGCTACAAGGGTGAGTCAGATGATAAAGTTGAAATTCACGTAGGCTAGGTCCT